TCTGGTAACCCTAATTCAATCCTAGTATTGAAATGTCAACTTCTTAGCTTTTACTCGAGTCTTCCAACTTATCAACTTGTTTCTGGTAACCCTAATTCAATCCTAGTATTGAAATGTCAACTTCTTAGCTTTTACTTCAGTCTTCCAACTTATCAACTTGCTCCTGGTAACTCTAATTCAGTCTTGGTATTGAAATGTCAACTTCTTAGCTTTTACTCGAGTCTTCCAACTTATCAACTTGTTTCTGGTAACCCTAATTCAATCCTAGTATTGAAATGTCAACTTCTTAGCTTTTACTTCAGTCTTCCAACTTATCAACTTGCTCCTGGTAACCCTAATTCAATCCTGGTATTGAAATGTCAACTTCTTAGCTTTTACTTCAGTCTTCCAACTTATCAACTTGCTCCTGGTAACTCTAATTCAGTCTTGGTATTGGCTCATCAACTTATTATTGTTTATAACTTTTACTCCATTGTTTGTACTTAACTGGTTTATCAACCCATATTACCAACACTGTTGATACTTACATACCAAAAACTCCCATATTATGTCAGTTTTTGGTATTGATTTACTAACTTGTCTTTGTCAGCTTCTTATTTATTTTAACTAATTTGTTTATCCTATTCTTATTAGCTACTACTCCACTTTTTCATTACTTGATTTATAAACTTCCTGCCTTTGCAACCATTGTTATTGAACTATTAATCCTTTCTCTAGTGTAACAACCCTTATTACAGTTTTTGGTAATTAAGCTTACCAACCCAGCAATCTTAACAGCTTGAAAGTTGACTTTTAATTTCTTAAATTCCTTTTCTGTTCTTCGTAATTGAGTTAACAATACCCAGTAGCTCCCATTTTTTCAAACAGGACTGCTAGAACTAATTTATGTTGTTATAAAGGTTGTGGAAGTGAACTTTTTACACTGATATGTACATTTTTTTTCTGTTTTTTTTTTATCTGACACTCTGGCTTTAATGCCAAAACGATATCTAAGTAGAATAATTTTTATTTCTGAAATGATCTCTGAAGGATTAAAACTTAATGTACTTAACATATTTTTAATAACCTTTTATGGCACAAAACAAATAATTATGTGACTATGTTTTAATTGTGCAGTACTTTTGATTTTTCGTAAAACCAGCCAGAAGTTTGTTATATGTGAACATAAAAATGTATGACAGACTTTTCTGTATTATGTTAATTTGAATCATGTGTATGGTAAAGTTCAATAAGCTGTGTTCAAGTTCCCCAAATAATGAATTTGTTTTTCTCCTGCCTAATCTCAAGTTTCAAATTTACCAGGTCAGAGGTTAAAAAGTTAATATTACTATAACTCCATTTTCAATTGCAATTTTTTTTTGTTCAGAGTGCTGCTAAGAAGGGTTTTGCAAACTTTAAAAACTGCTGTTTTTTTATGTAAATGTGCATTTTGTACATACTCTTCCTAAATACCCATTTCTTTTCAGCAGTTATTTTGTAATAAATACTTTTTTTTATAAGAAAATAATTGAAGATTTAATTACTTACTATCTCCAATCCAATAATGGAAGCAATAAAGAACACATTCTTTGACTTCATCAAAGAATTTCAAAACAAGCACAACTGTAATAACCTGATAGTCACGTTTGTTGTTGAGCGATACCACTCCTAGACACGCGTGTTGTTGAGCGATACCACTCCTAGACACGCGTGTTGTTGAGTGATTCCACTCCTAGAAACACAATTCTGGTGATATCTTGTATTTTTGAACAAGTTCATCACAAATTAGTATGCAAACTTCAATATTTGATTTGATTTAGATAATGATCATTTATCTATAACATGCGTCTTCGATCTCGAACCCCATCATAATAAACCAATGAGAAAACCAAAATTTAATTATAAAAAAAAAAACAAATTGGGAAGAATATGCAAAATTATTAGGTCAAAATCGGGAATAAATCTAGCCCAGAAATCATCAGATAATAAACATGATGAAAGAACTTCGCCACCTACAAGAGATCCGAACATCATAATACACCAAGCAACAAAATACGAGATGAAATCAATCATTTAAAACAAGACAAATGGGACTCTTTTTGCTCGTAATTAAACGAACACAGACTCAAAGAAGTTTT